TTTAGTTTACCAGTCTATTAAATGGTATGATAAAGATTTCAGATGAACAGCCAGATGAAGAGATACATAGGGAAAGGTCTGGGAGGGATCCAAGCAAAGAGCTTGTTTCCATGGAGTTGAGGGGTGTCATTCTCCCAGTATGTGGATGTGTTCCCCAACCTGGAAGCTCTTCAAACCCCTACTATTGGGATTTTTATGCCTCATGCAGGCATAATCAATTACTAACTCCATTTCCAGCCCCTCACCCTCCTCTGGAATATGGGAGGGGTAGGGTTGAAAATTCTTACCCTATCGTGGCTTGGTTTTTCTGGTGAACAGCAGCCATCCAGGAGCCCACGCAGTCACCTCATTAGAAAAAAAATGCTGCTAATGCTCTTATCATTTAGGAATTTATAATGGTTTTAGGAGCTCTGTGCCAGGAACCAGGAGCAGAGACCAAGACATGTATTTTCTATTATCTCACAGCAGCATTCCTAGAAAAATTCCATGTACCTTAAAGACACAGGAAAATGCTAACGCTTTGTGTTTATACGCTAACAAAGCTAGGTTCTAGGTTCAGATAATTATAAACAGACTTTTCATTCCCATGAATGTTAGCAGGACATTCAGAAAGTATATTGTGGGACAGTTTTTCCTTGTGTGGCACCATCTCCCATTACAGAACATCTTATATCGCTAGCTTTAGTCTTCTAAAGTCTGTGGTTTTCTCAAGCATTGTTGTAACTAAAAATTTAAATTCAGTTCCCACAAAAATTTAAATCCTCATTCTATGGGGTGGTATTGGCCCCCTACGGAACTAGTATTTTAGTTCAATAAGAACAATTATCCCCAATAACCAATACAGTGCTTGGGAATAAATAATAGTTTAACTCTAAAGTTGTTGAAATCTTTTAAATACACTCTTTGGGCAGCCCAAGGACAGCAGGGTAGGCCCCCCAATGACCCACAGCTTTGCAGTCCTGATTCAGGAATCGGTGATTCCATCTGTAGAAGCAAATTTAGGGTGACAAGGAGATACAGGCCACCTAGCCCATGACTTTCTTTTCTCTACAAATGTTTAATTTTTCCTTCGGCATTGCAGACCCTAGAGCCGCTCCCTCCCGCACGGTCCCGGTCCATCGCCAGGCTGGGAGCCCAAGCTCCTCCCCCGCAGACGGGCCCCGACTAGGCTCCGCCCCGGCTCTGCGCGTCACTGGAAGTGAGACAGCGGAAATAGTAAAACCCGCTGAAAGCGAGCGGCGGGGCCCTGGCTCTTGTGTGATGGGATGGCGGACGAGGAGGAAGACCCCACAGTGAGTGATCTCTGTTCCAACCCACTGTCTACTTTACTCCCTCGGGTGCAGTAGCAGAGGCCGAGTTCAGAATCTAGTCTGTTTTCCTTAGTGAATTCTGTCAGGAGAGTTCGGGGACTTCACGCCGCGCTAGCCTTTCCTTTCGGAGTCATCTTTTTAGTACGTGGGGCAGGACGTGAAGGAAGGTGGCCCCTTGCCTTTTGCTTTTGGTCCATATTTGCCAGACACCCTTGGAAAGGCCTAGAGCATCATCAGAGGACAAGGCTAATATTTGTTAGCTCTCAGACTGAACTTATTTTTTTCCCTCCCCAATTGCTTCTCCCTTTTACTTTTCAATTTATATTAATAGCAGTCCATTCATCTAGATGTAACCCTCTCACTCCTTGGCTCCCAGATTAATTCAGATACAAAGTCCTGTAAATTCTACCTTTTAAAGTTCCTTCTTCTTAATTCAGGTTCTAATCATCTCTCATCCTAGATGATCTCCCTGCCAAAGTGATCCTTTTTAAAAAGATAGGGTCATGCAACTCTTCTGCTTAAAGACCTCCCAGGAAATCTGTAGTTTTCACAGAAAGGCCAGAGAATATTCAAGGCCTTTCACACTGGGACTACTGCTTCCTTCCAGCCTCATTTGTTGCATTCCCACCCCAGAAACGTGGCTCTGGCAATCCACCGGGAACATCTTGGAGGAGCACAGCAAGACTTTTCATTCTCTGTGCTTTATTTCTCCCCTGCTCATAACACTGCAGTTTTTTGCCTTTTGTAGATCTCACATTCAGAAGGTTGAACTATCCGCACTCCACAGTTCATGACATACTAATGTAACTGACCCTTCCAAAGTCAGACACTTGTTATTTATCTATGTATTTCCTTTATTTCTGTTCCCATTCCTCCTACTCCACAACCTTTCCAATGTATTTGATGTCTATACTTTTTATATATGTTCCTGTAAAATATGTATCTTTTGTGTGTGTATATATTTAATTTACATAAATGGTATTGGGTTATAGCTCTCATTGGGTTTCTTATTTTTTTAATTCAGCACTGTGTTTCTAAACTCGGTCCATGTTGCTTCTGATTGCTCTATAGTACCCACTGGTGTACATCCAGCGCAGTTTAACTATCCATTCCCTGACAGTGAATATTTTATACTTGACATTACTTAACAGAACAGGTCTCAACCCTATCAAACTCAGCAATGTTCTTTAAATAGCAAATCTATTATAATGTTCCTTTATTATTTGGAAGTAAAATTCACACATGACATAACCTACTGTGTAGGCAGCCTCTCACATAGTCCCCAGTGATGTCTGCCTCCTGGTATTCTCATCCTTGTGGAATTCCCTTTCCTTGCATGTGGACTGCACTTACTAACTTCTAGTGAATAGAACAGAAGTGATGGGATGTCACTTCCCAGGTTAGGTTACAAAAGAATCGTATGGCTTCTCTCTGGGTATTCTTGGTTCTCTCCCTCATCCTCACTGAGAGAAGCCAGCTGCCATATTATAAGCTTCCCTATGTAGAGAACCATGTGGCATGGAACTTAGGAGGCCTCTGGCAATAGCCAGTGAAGAACTGGGGCCCTGAGCCTGACGATCTAAAGGAACTGAATCCTTCTGAATTCTATAGCTCCTTCCTCATCAATACTTCAGATGAGACTTCAGCCCCAGCCAACACGCAGCTACAGCATAAGGGACCTCGAACCAGAGGCACTCAGCTAGACTACACCCAGATTCCTGACCCATAGAAATTGTGTGATAAATGTTTATTGTTTTAAGCCATTAAGTTTTTGGGATAATCTGTTACACAGCAATACACAAATTACATCTAACTACCCACATAATTAAAAAACAATATATAATGACCTACCTGTAATATAAAGGTAAAGACAATAAACTATGTGTTTCAATATGGAAGCATTCAGGCATGACTACACAGGAGAGTATAATGATTTCGGATTCTTGCACTTATATGTAGAATCACCAGGCACGCAGGAGGTGCAATGCAGATGGATTCTAGTGAGCATTGGCTACTCAGATTATTACAAAGTGAAAGGTCCTTTAGTGACATTATTTCTTAAAATGGTTCACAGCTCTTGGTAAGTTCCAAACAAAACAAAGTACAATATCCCTTCAATTTCAGGATAATTGCTGTTTTGCGAAAATCTCCCAGTTCTTTCATTCCTGTGTGCCTTTTTCCTTTCACACAGAACACTTCACTTCCGACACTTGTCACCATATCTGTGGGTTTTCTTTTTCCTATACCAAGCAATTCTATACCACCAGTTGATTGTGGTACAATTTGACTCAATTCTGACACTATCTACCTGGTGATAGTGACAGATCCCACAGGTTATGGGCTCAGTCCCACAAGGCTGTTCCCCATTTTAGATGCCAATCACAAGCAGTAGGTCCCAAGGTTACCCACAACTTTTGTCCAACTTGGTTACAAATAGGAGGTTCCCATCACCTCTTGCCCTTGGATTTGATTATTTTCTAGAACAGCTCACAGAATTCAGGGAAACATTTATAGTTTAGTTTACCAGTCTATTAAATGGTATGATAAAGATTTCAGATGAACAGCCAGATGAAGAGATACATAGGGAAAGGTCTGGGAGGGATCCAAGCAAAGAGCTTGTTTCCATGGAGTTGAGGGGTGTCATTCTCCCAGTATGTGGATGTGTTCCCCAACCTGGAAGCTCTTCAAACCCCTACTATTGGGATTTTTATGCCTCATGCAGGCATAATCAATTACTAACTCCATTTCCAGCCCCTCACCCTCCTCTGGAATATGGGAGGGGTAGGGTTGAAAATTCTTACCCTATCGTGGCTTGGTTTTTCTGGTGAACAGCAGCCATCCAGGAGCCCACGCAGTCACCTCATTAGAAAAAAAATGCTGCTAATGCTCTTATCATTTAGGAATTTATAATGGTTTTAGGAGCTCTGTGCCAGGAACCAGGAGCAGAGACCAAGACATGTATTTTCTATTATCTCACAGCAGCATTCCTAGAAAAATTCCATGTACCTTAAAGACACAGGAAAATGCTAACGCTTTGTGTTTATACGCTAACAAAGCTAGGTTCTAGGTTCAGATAATTATAAACAGACTTTTCATTCCCATGAATGTTAGCAGGACATTCAGAAAGTATATTGTGGGACAGTTTTTCCTTGTGTGGCACCATCTCCCATTACAGAACATCTTATATCGCTAGCTTTAGTCTTCTAAAGTCTGTGGTTTTCTCAAGCATTGTTGTAACTAAAAATTTAAATTCAGTTCCCACAAAAATTTAAATCCTCATTCTATGGGGTGGTATTGGCCCCCTACGGAACTAGTATTTTAGTTCAATAAGAACAATTATCCCCAATAACCAATACAGTGCTTGGGAATAAATAATAGTTTAACTCTAAAGTTGTTGAAATCTTTTAAATACACTCTTTGGGCAGCCCAAGGACAGCAGGGTAGGCCCCCCAATGACCCACAGCTTTGCAGTCCTGATTCAGGAATCGGTGATTCCATCTGTAGAAGCAAATTTAGGGTGACAAGGAGATACAGGCCACCTAGCCCATGACTTTCTTTTCTCTACAAATGTTTAATTTTTCCTTCGGCATTGCAGACCCTAGAGCCGCTCCCTCCCGCACGGTCCCGGTCCATCGCCAGGCTGGGAGCCCAAGCTCCTCCCCCGCAGACGGGCCCCGACTAGGCTCCGCCCCGGCTCTGCGCGTCACTGGAAGTGAGACAGCGGAAATAGTAAAACCCGCTGAAAGCGAGCGGCGGGGCCCTGGCTCTTGTGTGATGGGATGGCGGACGAGGAGGAAGACCCCACAGTGAGTGATCTCTGTTCCAACCCACTGTCTACTTTACTCCCTCGGGTGCAGTAGCAGAGGCCGAGTTCAGAATCTAGTCTGTTTTCCTTAGTGAATTCTGTCAGGAGAGTTCGGGGACTTCACGCCGCGCTAGCCTTTCCTTTCGGAGTCATCTTTTTAGTACGTGGGGCAGGACGTGAAGGAAGGTGGCCCCTTGCCTTTTGCTTTTGGTCCATATTTGCCAGACACCCTTGGAAAGGCCTAGAGCATCATCAGAGGACAAGGCTAATATTTGTTAGCGTTCATGTGAACCAACAGTTCAACTCCTAACAAAAGTTTACTTGCTATAAAGTAGTGGAAAAATAATGGACCGAAAGTCAGGGAACCTGGATTTCAAAATCTCTACTATCTGTGAGCAAGTTACTTAACTGTGAGCCTCGGTTTGCGTGTCATAAAGTGGGGTAAAGACTTACTTGAGGCAAGTGCTTAGTAAACGCTAGTTTTGTTTAATTTGTTCCAGTACCTACGTTTTTTATAGCAAAACTGTTTAGTAATAGGCCAATTTAGTTGATTAAAAACAAAAACAAAAAGACGTATGGTCTTTGGAATTTCAGGAAAGGCAGTAATTTGTTAGGGACATTGCAGAAGCCATTCCTGCATGAATCGGAAGGTGGGCTGGATATTTTTCAAGGCCTCTCAGATTCTAAGGTTTCGTGATTCCTTTTGCTGCTTGCTTTAGGCTTTCTGGCATGATATCAGGGTTGAAAATGGAAAGAAATAATGTTAATTATTAAAAACCAAATGCAGTGCTTGACATTCCTGTATATATGTTTTAATTTGTAGTTTGAGGAGGAAAATGAAGAAATTGGAGGAGGTGCAGAAAGTGGACAGGGTAAAAGAAAGAGACTTTTTTCTAAAGAATGTGAGTAGTATTTGACAATGATTTTATTATGGATGATAAAAACTTCGGTCTTGTGTATTCAAAGTAGATTAATCCTGAGTGTGTTTGCCTGTAGAGACAATATTTTCACTGTTGCCTATAAAATTGTTTAACTTGTGAATCACAGATAATAATGATACTAATCTCAGTTTATATACTTATATGTGTATAATATTTATACTTAGACATACATACATATACATACACATTTTTTTTAAAGTGAGGAGATGGTGATTGATGTTTCAATTTAGGTCCTAAAGCATACCTCCATTACTTTTCTTGTCCTTACCTTTGCAGCAGTAGGAGCAGGGGCTCCTTTGACCAAAGGCTCCATAATCCAAAGGTTATGATGAATCCTGGAACAGGTACTTAAGTTGAAGCTTTGGACTAAGGCAATGGGCAAGGCAGGATGGTAGTGAACAGTGTAAGGCATTACAATGCAACAGCATAGAGAACATAACATCTTGGTCCTCTGCTCTGTTTCTCAGATTGGTCTGACCCTTTTGACAGCAGCAAGAGGGAGAGCTGCTGCTACTGATCATGATCCAGGCAACCTCCGAAAGGCACATGGGAATGTGCTCTCCATTGCCCAGTCCTGGGTCTTTTACATATCTATATGGCTTAGTATTGACATATGAGGCAACACATGAATACACCTGGTTTATTTATCCTGAGTCCCAAGATGTCAGCAGTTCCCAGATGCTCTTGAAACTGCAGATTCAATCTTTTTTTTTTAACCACTCAAATCCTTCTCTATTTTCAGTTCCTCATCTAAAGCTGACCTCTCATTAATCAATCTCTGATGCTATGTACTCTGTTTATAGACAGTTTTACTTCTTATGTCAGTGTAAGAAGAGGATGCCTACACCAGAGCATCCCAGAGTGATGCTTGCAGTTCTTACCAGAAATCTTTATTCTTTTCGGATTGCTTTATTTTTATGATGACAATAATTTGGAATCTTCAGAGCCTTCTTGTCTTACCTGAATCTTGATATATCTTACTGACCAAGGTCTGTTCTCCTATCTTTTTTTTAAAATTAAGGTATCATTCATATATACTCTTATGAAGGTTTCACAAGAAAAACAATGTTATTGTTACATTCACCCTTATTATCGAGTCTCCCTTCATACCCCATTGCAGTCACTGTCCATCAGTGTAGTAAGATGCCACAGAATCCCTATTTGTTTTCTCTGAGCTACACTGTTTTCCCTGTGACCCAACCCCACACACACCATGTACACTAATCGTAATATCCCACAATCCCCTTCTCCCTCCCTCCCCACCTGCCCTCCCCTATCCCTCCCCTTTGGTAACCACTAGTCCTTTCTTGGATTCTGTGAGTCTCTGCTGTTTTGTTCCTTCAGTTGTACTTTGTTGTTATACTCCACAGATGAGGGAAATCATCGGGTATTTGTGTTTTTCTGCCTTACTTATTTCACTGAGCATAATACCCTCTAGCTCCATCCATGTTGCTGCAAATGGTAGGATTTGTTTCTTTCTTAAGGCTGAATAGTATTCCATTGTGTATATGTACCACCTCTTCTTTATCCATTTACCTATTGATGGACACTTAGGTTGCTTCCCTATCTTGGCTATGGTAAATAGTGCTATGATAAACATAGGGGTACATATGTCTTTTTGAATCTGAGAAGTTGTTTTCTTTGGGTAAATTCCTAGGAGTGGAGTTACTGGGTCAAATGGTATTTCTATTTTTAGTTTTTTGAGGAACCTCCATATTGCTTTCCACAATGGTTGAACTAGTTTACATTCCCACTAGCAGTGTAGGAGGGTTCCCCTTTCTCTGCATCCTTGCCAGCATTTGTTGTTCTAGTCTTTTCGATGTTGACCATCCTAACTGGTGTGAGGTCATATCTCATTGTGGTTTTAATTTGCAATTCCAATATATGTTTGTTAATATAACACCAGTTTCATAGCATTCACTGATATTTATATGTTTACAGACCCTTTAACCATATACAGTTTATATACTTTCTATCTATTGTAAATTTTTCTTTTCCAGTGAAATATGTTTCCATATTGGTAAATTCTACCCATTAGAATATTAATGACACAGTATCTTCCTCAAAATACTTAAGTAAAAATAGTAAATTTACAGTCGAGAATCCTGGCAGACATCACTTTAGCCAAATGGTTAAAGTTAACATCCCCACTAATAAATATTGACATGAGGTACCCAGACAGGATGCATTAAGAGGGTACATCACCTCTGTGTTACCCTTTCTAGTAATGCATAATCACATTTAATCATGTGAAAACATCAGACAAACAAACTGAGAGGAATTCTAAAAGATAACTGACCAGTATTCAGAAGTGTCAAGTGAAAGAAGAGGAAAGCTGAGGAACTGTCAGAGATCAGAGGAAACTCAGGAGGCATGACAGTTTATAATGGAAAAACTGGTACAACCTGAATAAGTTCTGTACTTGTACCAGTGTTAATTTCCTAGTTTTGATAAATGTCTATGGTTATGTACAACATCAGCATAAGGGGAAGCTGGATATAGGGTATTTGGGAATTCTATGTTTTCTATGTACGATGTTAACATAAGGGGAAGCTGGATATGTCTATTTGGGAATTCTTCTATGTTTGTGCAACTCTTCTGTAAGTCTGAAATTATCTCTAAAAAAAGGGCAAAGTTTCAGAATCCAAAAAAAAAGAGAGAAAATACTGGTTCCTATGTTTGTTTTCTCCCTCCTGTATCTCTACCTAAGGCTCTTGCCAGTATAAACCTTAGGGATGTCTATCCCAGGCCGGCTTTCAAATCACCCCTTTCATTTCCTCCCTAAACCTGGTCTACTTTCTTCTCTTTTCAGTTCTGTCAGCCTTTGCTTCTCCTAATTAGGAATTTTTCCTAATGAACTCATTTCTTCCTTTGGAAGTGTTCTAGAAGTTCCTTTTTCTTTTAAATATAAAACTTACAATGAATTGTACTAGTGTTAAGTGAACAGTTTGGTGAATTTTACACATATGTATTTGTACCACCACTCAAATCAAGAAACAAAACATTTCCAATATATGACAGAGTTTCTTTAACAAATACCCTTTTGAGAATCTGATGAATTGATTCTTCTTTCCAGAAAAATGCACACACACAAATAATGTATAAAATTTTTGTGTATAATTTCAGGAGGGTTCAAGGACATCTCAAAGTTTGTCACTAGACTAACTGGGAGTTTATAGACTAGGATAAGAATCCATATGGATCCCATCTGCCCCATGTTACTAAGAAGTATAGTGTTGTGTGTAGGACTGACTATACACCCTGGAGCCAAATCATCTGGGTTCAAATTCAGGTTCCATTTCTCTATCACTCTGACCATGGGTAAACTACTTAGTTCCTGATATTTGTCATCTATATAGAATCGGGATAATAATGGTATCTACTTCAGAGGATTGTTGTGAGGATTAAATGAGATACGTGTGAAGGACTTAAACCCATGCCTGGCTTATAAGAAGAGCTGTAAGTTTTAGCTATTAGCAGTTATTTTTATTACTCTATTATACTTTCCATTTCTTTTCTATGGTTCCCTCAGATGAAACCTGAAAGAGCTATCTATGCTGGCATTTTCTCTGATCTAGGGCATAAAATGTCAAGATTCCATATAGTAAGCCCTTCACTTTTCTTTTTGGTTACTCTGTTCTTTCTGTAAGAAGGTAATTGGAACACTTGTGCTTGTGTCCTTTTCCCTATGGTAGCATCAGGAAGGATTTTGTCTTCTCTTTAACAGTTACTCACTTCCACACACATGTGCATGTGAGCATACACACACACACACACACACACACACACGAAAAAACAACACACGAAAAAACAACACTCCCAGTAAAGGCTGAGCCATTGTTACTCATTCTGACCCTGCCATGGTGTTTCCTACTTAAAAGATATTCTGGAGTTGTTGGTGAGTAGATAGTAGAGGTTAGGAAAAGAATATTGATGTCTGGCTTCAGTAGCTGGAGGGAAGGAGAGTTCCTACCTAGGGAAGGCTAGGTAGGAACAGTTGATTATGAGATTGCCTAAAACCTTTTACACCAAAATTCATACTTAGATATGGCCAATACAATAAAGAAATATTTTTATACCAATACCTTCTATAACTTGGTTCAATTCTAATTTTAAAAAAGTATGAATCAAATTGTGAAATTGACCAACCAAACAAATTGTTCAAGTAAACAAAAATGATTGTTCCTTTACAGTGCGATAACAAATTGTTCAAGTAAACAAAAATGACTGTTCCTTTACAGTGCGATGTATGATGTATGGGTTTGGGGATGACCAGAATCCTTATACTGAGTCGGTGGATATTCTTGAAGACCTTGTCATAGAGTTCATCACTGAAATGGTAAGATTTATTCTGTCACTGGTTTTAGTTGATTAAGGAATTAACTAAGATAGGACTAGAACTATGGCATCCTTTTAACTTAGGCTATCCATTTGAGTGCCTGTTTTGTGGAAGTTACTAGTTACCATTTATCATTAAGGATGGAGATACATACACCCACACACACATACACATATACACACACACACAGACACACACAATATATAGATATATATTCTACTCCTTCCTCCTAAAAATTATTTATAAGGACATAATAATGAGATCCTTGGAAATAATTAAAAATATTACCCTATCATCCAACATAAGTCTTCCCCCTCTTCCCACCCCCTAGTATTTACTTAAAAGTGTCCAGTGTTTTACATAGTGGTGATAATGGTAAGCATTCTTTATACTCAAGAGTTTTACAATACATAATTCCTGTGTTCTAACCACGATTATTTTAGTAGCTACATAAAATTCTTTCAAGTTGCTTTCTAATATACATAACCATTTCCCTATTATATAAGTTATTTACAGGTTATTTTTAGCTGAATAGATAATTTTGCATGACCACATTCATGAAATTTCCCCTTTCCTTTGGTTATATTCACAGGGATAGGAATACTCAGTTTGTTTGTGCTTAGTTCTTATGAATTTTTACCCTGTGTTTTGCATTATTTCCTAATACAGTAGGAAATAATAGAAGTAAAATTACTGGGTCAGAGAGTATGCATAAAAAAATATTTTCTATTTATAAAACTAATTAATATTGATTAAATTAAAAAATGTAAAAAAGGTACAAGTAAGAAAAACCTTTAATCCTTCCACCTAGATACAACTAATGCTGAGATTTTGGTGCATATTTGTCTTTTTGCATATGTTTTTAAACTCTATAAAATTGAAATCACATATACAGTCATGGAACCTGCTTTTTCATTTAAGTCTAGCACATTTTCCCTATTTCATTGCATAATACTCTATAATGTTTTCAATAGCTTCATAATTTTAATTGGACATGTTCAAATTTGTTTATTAAATATTTAGTTTTCCTTTTTTTAATCATTGAAATAATGCTATGATGTACCTTTGTTTTTGCACAGAATGGATAAGTAATGACAGGGGATGAGATTATTTGATTATTAGAAAACTCACTGCTGTCAGCTCTTGAGATGGAGACAAAGCTTAAATGGAATGGGTGATTACAAAGAAGTTATAAAATCATTTTACACAAATGAAGGCAAAAATCACATATCAAAAAACAAAACAAAATAATCAATAAAATTCAATAGTTTTAATGTCCTTAATATTTAAAAAGTCTATAAAGTATTAAGAGAAACATTGCTAATAACACAGTAGAAAGTGGACAAAGGACATGAATAGAAAGCCAGTTCACAAATGAATAGCTATAGTAATTAGAAGAGAAAGTCTTCATAATCACCAGTATTAAATAAATAAAAATTAAGAGTAAAATATTAGATTAAAAAATTAATTGAACTTAATATGTTTCTTTGTACAGACTCACAAGGCGATGTCAATTGGAAGACAAGGTCGGGTACAAGTTGAAGATATTGTCTTCTTGATTCGAAAGGACCCCAGGAAGTTTGCTAGGGTGAAAGACTTGCTTACTATGAATGAAGAATTGAAACGAGCTAGAAAAGCATTTGATGAAGCAAATTATGGATCTTGACACCTTTTGTACATTCTCAGGTTTTGTTACCTTCTAGAGAAAACATATTAAAATGTGTATTTTCCACAATAAGGCCCTGATATTGAGCCATGTAAATGAAAAATGGAGAAACACAGTTTTCAGCCTTTATTTTCGTGTCTTTGATTTTAGAGTGATATTTGAGCCTTTAATTACCTGCTATTATATTACCATACTTGAATTACTTACTGGGTTTTAATGACCACGTGTAAGTTGAAGTACCTTGCAAACCATGCCATTCCTTCTTTTCACTGTCTAAATGATGAAGTATTATTTATCTACTAGATGCATTTGGGTCATTGTAGGCTTTATTGTAGGTGTTTAATATGTGAAATCTAAATGGCACCTTTGACTTACGATAGCTAAGACTTGTGTTTCATGAATTCTAAAACTTAGACTACAGTAGTTCATGAGGTTATTAAAAGGTGGTCAGCTGGTTTGTGTTTTTTTAAGGAGGAGATGATATACAAAAATATAAAAATACAAAATCTTTTGTCAAGTTTTAGGAGAACTCATTTTCTCAGGTCAGATAAAAGCTTCTAAAAATAAATTCTTTGAGTAGTAGGAATGGTATTGCTTAAAAAAGCTGATGGCAGGATAAGCATTTGGGGTAGTTTATTAACATATTTGTTAGTACTTGTTCATTGTGGAAATGTGTGCTTGACTAAAACCATGTGTGGCTATAGAAACCACTTTTGTAGTTAAGAATATACAGGTTTGTATGTAACTTATTAAGTTATTATTTCACTTACCTTAAGGATTAAAATTGCATTGAAAGGGATCACTGAATATAACATTAGTTCTTGTGAAACTGAATGTTTTGTGTGCCACTTATAAACTTATCTATATATCGGTACTTAGGAAAATTTTGCTTTCTTAACCTATTGATACAAAGAATTTAAAAAATGAATACTTGAGTTTGACTATGTGATTTTTCAGGCTCCCCTCTCCCCGCCATTACTAGTCACATAATTCTGGCTGCTTAATCACATTAGAAACTTTTTTCCTATTACTCTTGTAATGCTCCTGAATTGATGAGATTCAAGATAGCGAGCTGATCTTTTTGTTATTAAAAAGTAAAATCTCCTTGAAAAGTTACTCCAAGAATGGTAATCATTTGTAATAGACTCACATCAAGAAGGGGTGTGAAATAATAAAAGATGAACATATCACTATTTTTGCTAATCAGGGTCTGCTTTACCCTGAAGAAGGATCTGGTAGTAACTGGCATTAGGGGAGTTACACTGAGTACCTGTGTTAGTCATCTTGGGCCACCATAACAAAATTCAGCCTAGGTGGCTTACACAACAGAAATGTATTTTCTCACAGTTCTGGAGGCTGTAAATCCAAGATTGTTGCCAGCATGGCCAGCTTCTGGTGAGGATTCTTCCTGGATTACAGATAGATACATAGCCAAATTCTCACTGCATCCTCACATGGCTGAGAGAGAGCTCTGTTGGATCAGGGTTCCAACCTTATAACCTCATTTAATCATTTCGTCAAAGGCCCTATCTCCAATATAGTCAGATGTAGGGGGAGGGCTTCAACATGGTATTTAGGGAACACAGTTCAGTCTATAGTAGTGCCATTAGTCTATTTTGCTAATGACTGTGGCATATTAAGAAGTTTTTTATGGGACTTTGAGTTAGGACTTTAGGTTACAAGTGATAGAACTTAACTCAAAAATAGCATGAGCAAAAAGAGGAATTTATAGTCTTATCTAAACTGAAACAAGGGAAAGAATAGATGGAGTTGAGTCCCGCCTGGACTGAATCTAAGAATTTGAGGGGAATCAAGACTGCTCATCTTTACCCTAATTTTGTTTTTACTCTCAATGTGTCAAGGGAACATGGTGGCTAGCAGTCCTAGGGTTCCATTCATATTACCCTTGATCAAGGGAACTGCTTCACTTCCTAATACAGAAAATTCCAAACAAGGATTTGTGATTATCCTACTTCTGGTCCTTATTCTTCTTTGACTATCACTGTGACCAGGAAGAAGTTGTACTACATAGCCTAGATCTCAAGCCCCCACTCTGGCGTGAGAGTAGGAGGGGAGCTGGGACTTCTATTAGCAAGAAAGGATAAGAGGCTGGGGAGGTGGAGCCAAGATGGTGGTGTGAGTAGAGCAGTGGAAATCTCCCAAAACCACATATATTTTTGAAAATACAACAAATACAACTCTTCCTAAAAGAGAGACCAAAAGACACAGGACAACAGCCAGACTACATCCACACCTGCGAGAACCCAGCGGCTCCCGAACAGAGTAAGATACAAGCTGTGGCCAGGCGGGACCCGAGCGCCCCTCACCCCAGCTCCTGGTGGGAGGAGAGGACTCGGAGCGGGGAGGGAGAGGGAGCCCAGGACTGTTAAACACCCAGCCCTAGCCATCCACACCAGAGCGCAGACACAGTGCATGCATGGGGTGCTGGAAACTAGGGAAACAGGACAGTAAGACCTGTGAGCGGGTCCCTGCTGCCTGGCGCCCTGGGGACAAAGAAAAGCGAGTGCTTTTTGAAAGTCTTTAAGGGCCAGGGACCCTCACAGCTGGACGGAAGCGTCCTGGGACACTTAGCCCAGCAGCTGGGAATCCCAGGGAACTCTGGGCACCTTAACCCCCTGTGCAGCAGGGTGGCTCGGAGGCACCTCATGGAAATAAACAGCCTCCCGTCCGTTTCCCCTCCACTGTGGCTCTGCCATATTGGAGAGCAGCCTGAGGCAGGCCATGCCCACAGCAACTGCAGAGCTAAACTCCATAGCAGCCAGGCAAGAATCAGAGGCCCCGTCTGCGTGCAGCTGCCCAGCACAAGCCACTAGAGGTCGCTGTTCTCCAAGGAGAGGAAGGCCGCAAACCTACAAGAAGGGACGTTCTCCCAGCAGTCACTTGCCCCAGGTCAGCAATCTATCTCTATCGCCATGAAAAGGCAGAATCTGAGACAGACAAAAATCACACAGACAACACCTGAGAAGGAGATAGACCTAACCATTCTTCCTGAAAAAGAATTCAAAATAAAAATCAAACATGCTGATAGAGATGCAGAGAAATATACAAGAGCTAAGGGATGACGTCCGGAGGGAGATTACAGAAGTGAAACAATCTCTGGAAACATTTATAAGCAGAATGGATAAGCAGCAAGAGGCCATTGATGGAATAGAAACCAGAGAACAGGAACGCATAGAAGCTGACGCAGAGAGAGATAAAAGGATCTCCAGGAATGAAACATTTTATTAAGAGAATAGTGTGACCAATCCAAAAGGAACAATATCCACATTATAGGGTTACCAGAAGAAGAAGAGAGAGAAAAAGGGATAGAAAGTGTCTTTGAAGAAGTAATTGCTGAGAACTTCCCCAAACTGGGGGAGGAAATAGTTGCTAAGACTACGGAAGTACACAGAACTCCCAACAGAAAGGACCCAAAGAGGACAACACCAAGACACATAATAATTAAAATGGCAAAGATCAGGGATAAGGACAGAGTATTAAAGACAGCGAGAGAAAAAAAAAGGTCACCTACAAAGGAAAACCCATCAGGCTATCATCAGACTTCTCAACAGAAACCTTACAGGCCAGAAGAGAATGGCATGATACATTTAACGCAATGAAACAGAAGGGCCTTGAACCAAGGATACTGTATCCAGCACAATTATCATTTAAATGTGATGGAGGGATTAAACAATTCCCAGACAAGCAAAAGTTGAGGGAATTTGCCCCCCACAAACCACCTCTAGAGGGTATTTTAGAGGGACTGTTCTAGTTGGGAGCACTCCTAAAAAGAGCACAGAATACAACACCCAACCTATGAAGAATGGAGGAGGAGGAATAAAAAGGGAGAGAAATAATCATCAGGCTGCGTTTATAACAGCTCAATAAGTGAGTTAAGTTAGACAGTAAGGTAGTAAAGAAGCTAACCTTGAACCTTTGGTAACCACGAATCTAAAGCCTGCAGTGGCAATAAGTACATACCTATCGATAATCACCCTATATGTAAATGGACTGAATGCACCAATCAAAAGACACAGAGTAATAGAATGGATAAAAAAGCAAGACCCATCTATATGCTGCTTACAAGAGACTCACCTCAAACCCAAAGACATGCACAGATTAAAAGTCAAGGGATGGAAAAAGATATTTCATGCAAACAATAGGGAGGAAAAAGCAGGCGTTGCAATACTAGTATCAGACAAAATAGACTTCAAAACAAAGAAAGTAACGAGATAAAGAAGGACACTACATAATGATAAAGGGCTCAGTCCAACAAGAGAATATAACCATTATAAACATATATGCACCCAATACAGGAGCACCAATATAACAGAATTAAAGGAGAAAATAGAATGCAATGCATTCATTTTGGGAGACTAACACACCACTCACTCCAAAGGACAGATCCACCAGACAGAAAATAAGTAAGGACACAGAGGCACTGAACAACAAACTAGAACAGATGGACCTAATAGACATCTATAGAACTCTACATCCAAAAGCAACAGGATATACATTCTTCTCAAGTGCACATGGAACATTCTCCAGAATAGACCACATACTAGCCCACAAAAAGAGCCTCAGTAAATTCCAAAATATTGAAATTCTACCAACCAATTTTTCAGACCACAAAGGTATAAAAGTAGAAATAAATTCTACAAAGAAAACAAAAAGGCTCACAAACACATGGAGGCTTAACAACATGCTACTAAATAATCAATGGATCAATGAACAAATCAAAATAGAGATCAAGGAATATATAGAAACAAATGACAACAACAACACTAAGCCCCAACTTCTGTGGGATGCAGCGAAAGCAGTCTTAAGAGGAAAGTATATAGCAATCCAGGCACACTTGAAGAAGGAAGAACAATCCCAAATGAATAGTCTAACATCACAATTATTAAAACTGGAAAAAGAAGAACAAATGAGGCCTAAAGTCAGCAGAAGGAGGGACATAATAAAGATCAGAGAAGAAATAAACAAAATTGAGAAGAATAAAACAATAGCAAAAATCAACGAAACCAAGAGCTGGTTCTTTGAGAAAATAAACAAAATAGATAAGCCTCTAGCCCAACTTATTAAGAGAAAAAGAGAGTCAACACAAATCAACATAATCAGAAATGAGAATGGAAAAATCACGACAGACTCCACAGAAATACAAAGAATTATTAAAGACTACTATGAAAACCTATATGCCAACAAGCTGGAAAACCTAGAAGAAATGGACAACTTCCTAGAAAAATACAACCTCCCAAGACTGACCAAGGAAGAAACACAAAAGTTAAACAAACCAATTACAAGCAAAGAAATTGAAACAGTAATCAAAAAACTACCCAAGAACAAAACCCCGGGGCCGGACGGATTTACCTCGGAATTTTATCAGACACACAGAGAAGACATAATACCCATTCTCCTTAAAGTGTTCCACAAAATAGAAGAAGAGGGAATACTCCCAAACTCATTCTATGAAGCCAACATCACCCTAATACCAAAACCAGGAAAAGACCCCACCAAAAAAGAAAATTACAGACCAATATCCCTGATGAATGTAGATGCAAAAATACTCAATAAAATATTAGCAAACAGAATTCAACAGTATATCAAAAGGATCATACACCATGACCAAGTGGGGTTCATCCCAGGGATGCAAGGATGGTACAACATTCGAAAATCCATCAACATCATCCACCACATCAACAAAAAGAAAGACAAAAACCACATGATCATCTCCATAGATGCTGAAAAAGCATTTGACAAAATTCAACATCCATTCATGATAAAAACTCTCAGCAAAATGGGAATAGAGGGCAAGTACCTCAACATAATAAAGGCCATATATGATAAACCCACAGCCAGCATTATACTGAACAGCGAGAAGCTGAAAGCATTTCCTCTGAGATCGGGAACCAGACAGGGATGCCCACTCTCCCCACTGTTATTTAACATAGTACTGGAGGTCCTAGCCACGGCAATCAGACAAAACAAAGAAATACAAGGAATCCAGATTGGTAAAGAAGAAGTTAAACTGTCACTATTTGCAGATGACATGATACTGTACATAAAAAACCCTAAAGACTCCACTCCAAAACTACTAGAACTGATATCGGAATACA